TCTCGCCGACCAACCAGCTTACTGAACATGACAGGGTGGTGCTCTTTCTAAAAGGCTGCTTATTGTACATTCACAGCTGTCATGCCATTTAGAAAGCTCCCTGACAAAGAGATTTAAAGCCAAACGCGGCTGTGTGTGTACCACAGATCATAAGGTGCCTCCTCGTCCCACATCAACCTGACCCTCCAATCACATTTTCAGTCGCCCATCTTTTTTGTTTCCTTTCAGCATAGATTAAGGCAGAATTCTTGGTGCACATTCGATTTCGCTTCTGCCCAAGCCAGTAAAGGTGCGCTGTCTTTCAGACGCTGGTGCTTGCTTTATATTCTTTTCATACCCCCTAAAGCAAACAAGGGGTGTCGACTCCTAATCCACATCTACCACATACCTACTCAGTCTCGTAATGACTGCCGCCACAAGAATGCGGTGGCATTGAAATGACTAAATGCAGAAGCTGCAAAAACACTGGTGTAAAAATAAAAAGGGAGTGTAAGAGCTGGACAGAAATGACAACAAACTACAAATGATAAAAGCTAAAAAATGAGATATGCACAGAAAGAAATGTTTTAACGGCATCCGGTGGCACGCACAGGCTAAGTAACAAGGAATCCGTTGAGCTGGATGATGTGTCCCGAAATGCAAACAGGCTAAGATATGAGTAAACGTTCTGTCATTTACATTTCCCAACTTGCTTGTCCCATCATCAAAGAAATCTGAAAAACAATGTTATATGCGTGCGCAACCGCATATGTGCACTACATGCCCGATGGCTCGTGCAAAACAAGAAGAATCGTGCTTCTGCTTCAGATATAACAGTATATTTGTTCTAGTGTACTGGTGAGAATACTGCTGATCGTTGAAATCGCAATCTGGGCATCAAAAAAAAAAAGAAATTATAAAAAAAATCTCGGTTGCCAACTGCTAGTGCACACCCACACTTTACTTACCCGAGAAAACAGCAACACAACTCAGTCAAAATGCATGAGTGTACACGTGTTAATGGAGCTTCTTATCTGTGTTAGCCCTAGATTAAGCCTAAAATAAGAAGTTTATAAAGAAATTGTTACGTGGGGCGACTGTGATGTTTCCCGTCCTGATAACAGACGCCGCATACCTATTCTTCTCATACTCGGGGTGTGTTTGAACAATAAAAGGTACGCTTGTCCTCTTTGCGCTTCCTTCCCCCCTCCCTCCCCAAGCTGGCAGTGCACTCAGAGCCCTTCTGTCTGTGGCTCCTTCATCTCCCCCAGAAAGAAGTTCTTTGGTTTTGATCCCATGGCTGCTGGTCTGCCCGGCCGGTCCCCTTCGTCCGGTCTGGTCTGATTCCAGTTGGGAGGGCTACATTCATTGGCAGGTGCCCGCTGGGGCTGCCCTGATGGTCACTTGGATCGGTGTGTCACGGGGGCGCCTTGCTGGTGCTTCTGCTCCTGTTGTTTCACCTGCTGGATGATCTCCCTGATTTTCCTCTGTGCAGTCTGTGGGACCAGAGGAGAGTATGTTTATAGTGGTAAATGTTCACTTTGAGTTTCTTTTCAATAAGAGAGAGGTGGCTGAATGAAGGTGATGCTATAAGCCATTATAAGATTTCATGTTTTGTCACTGCCATGTGTCATTGACCAATAAGAGGTGATTTTATTTACTGCATTTAGCCTTTACATGGTCAAGAAGCAGAACATTCAAGACGGCTTGGTACAATTATTTTGAAAAGAAGTTATAGGTAGAAACTATTTAATCAAAATAGTTACAACAGTAATATAGTGAAACATTATTACAATTTAAAGTGCCCTTATTATGGATTTTTGAAAATTACCTTTCAAGCAGTGTGTAACACAGCTCAAAGTGAATGAAAACATCCTGCAAAGTTTTTAATCTGAAAGTGCACCGTGTTATAAAGTTATTGTCTCTCAAAAGAAAGAGTCGATTCTGAATCATTGAAACGAGTCCTTTTTAAAACGAATCCCAAGCGTTTCATGTTGATGTCAACATGAAACATTAGCATATTGCCCGCCCACTTGTTGGTCATTTCGGTTGGTCTGAATGAAAATGCAAATTCATTCTTTGCCACTAGGTGCCGCTTTAGGAGCGGTAAAAATACCAGTTTTCCCGGTAACGGCTGTACACAAAACAGCACTGCGCTCACAAATGCTGCTTTATCAGGCATTACAGGCATGATGAAATGAAAATGCGAGGAATCGGACCAATCATCGCAGATTAGCGTCAGGCAAAGGAGGGGTTTGGAAAATGAATCATTGAGCGAATCGTTTGGGAGTCGTTGAGCAAGTAAGGTAAAAATAAATGCATATTATAAGACAATGAAAGTGTTTTTTGACCTTGCATGCATGTCAACCTGTTGTTGGGGACTCCCAAATCCAAAATATGAACTTTTCATTACCCATAATAGGGGCACTTTAAACTAATAGTCTTCTATTTGAACATATTTTAAAATTGAATTCATTCATGTGATGCAAAGCAGAATTTTAAGCAGCTATTACTTCAGTCTTCAGTGTCACATAATCCTTCAGAAATCATTCTAAAATGCTGATTTGCTGCTCAAATAACATTTCTTATATTATCAATGATGAAAATAGTCATTATACTAAATATATTTGTGGAAAAAAATTGTTTTTTTCAGGAAATATAACAGCATTTACTTGAAATCGAAAGTTTTTTAACATAAATATATTTACTGTCACTTTAAAAAAA